GTTTCCACAATACTGGAATAAAGATCATTCATAAATTTCCAGTTAAAATTACATTTAAATTTAATTATACGCCTATTGCACTAATAAGAGGACCAGTCGCAGCTAGCAATAAATCAGAGGAATGATTGAGACATTACCTCTTGGGGCCAATTACATTGACAGTGTACTCAGAGTTACCCAATGGTAAGGAATGATATAGTTTCCGTCAGATAACGTATTTTAATTGAGCATGAAATATCTAAGTGTGTTGTTGAAGACGGTAACACCTATATGGCATGATGTTACAAAGACATAACTACGATTTATATCAAGAACACAAACTACAACACAGCTACACATCATCACGAGAGACGATCTCCGGCCACCATAAGCGCGGGTCTGCAGTCGGCGAGCAAGGGCATCTCCCCGCCCAACTAGAACCAGGCCCGAGCGTCATAGCGTTCCGCGCGCGCCTCAAACAGCCAATAGACCACCACAGACGGGGCCCTATAGAGTTGATGTTCAGCCGGGGTTGCGGGGTAAGTGCAATGAGGCACCGCGACCTCGGCCGAGAGCAGGAGAAGGAACAGGGGGTTTTTTAGTCAGTAAGAGTCTGAAACTCCCTCCCGCCCGGCCCTGGGCGGGAGAAGTCATGATTGATGATGAGATGATTTTCCCCTCACAAAAAAAGCTACACATCATCAACCTAAAAGTGCCCACTGATGAACAAAGGCCTCTTCTCACACGACGTAGGTTTGAACATTAATAACCAAGGCGGATTGGCGATTACAAACTTATAATTTGAAATTATAAGTCCTCAAGATATTGCAGACGATGCAGCTACGTCTTTATGTAAATTTATCTACAACATTGTATACATTCGGAAATTACACGAAAACAATTTATTATATGATTGGACATAACCAATACTAACATTCATATTAAAATTGATTAGTGTTTAAATGTACTTACAGCGAATAATACATTACTGTCCAATCTGAGTTTAACATAATCTTAGACATAGCATAATGTTCAAAGATTAATAATAATAATGGGAGACAAGACAATTATAGATTATTAGAGCCAGGCCATGTATCCATTACCTACACAAGCACAGAGCACCTACACGGAGGTATCGAGCCAGTCAATTAACAACTAGTCCAGAGCTCACAATAACTCACAATTGCACTAGATTAATGCGAGCACTCGGGCTGTCGTTACAGCAATTACAAGCGCCATTAACATGCCATAAATTCATATTAAAACAACGTGCATTTTGATTTACATGTTGTTTTGCAACGACCGAAATTCGTGTGGGAGGCACACGGATAAGATTTTGATGTATATATCTGCAGGACTCGATTGTTCGTGTGGTTTACTTCTTGTTACGTTTATTTTCTTCGAGTACATTGCCTTGTACATATACAAAGATCTTCAGATATTATATTTTTAATAATTATAATGTTATATAATTGAAGTTGATGCGGTGGCTTGGCAACCGGCTGGTGTGCAACGTGTCGCGGGTTCGATTCCCGAATGGAACAACTTTTTGTGCTATCCACAAATTGTTGTTCCGAGTCTAGATGTCGTTAAAAATGTTTATAAATGCATCCACGACACGGAGAATCGAATCTTAGTGAAAGGCATCGAAAACCGAATGTTTCAGGCTACGATGGATTAGAAAATAATTAAATTATCTTTGCAATTTAAGTTAAGCGATCGAATTAGCTCACTTTTGTACTACAAATTTGTGATTCTGTATCCAAAATAATATTATAAATGCGGAAGTAAATCTGTCTGTCTGTCTATACTTCACGCCTAAACTACTAAACCTGTTTGTGTGAAATTTGGTACAGACACAGTTTGGAACTCGAAAAAGGACATAAGATTCAGTCAGAAGTCATTATACCACGAGAACAAAGTTGCGGGCAAAAGCTAGAAGATACATAAATCAAAACGTATACGTATTTTACGTGATAACAGACAAAATTAAAATCATATTAGCATTCGAAACACAGCGAATTAGAAATCAGATGTCCAAAACGAACAATCTGCGAAGCATCCTATTTGTAGCGCACATTCCCGCTCCTCTCATCTCATAGCTGCAGTAGCTATAGCTAGGGAAGCCACTACAGGTGTCCGCCGTGTCCACCAGACCAGCTAATGCCGATTAACTCGGATCCTTTTTTCTCTCGTTTTTAATCGGATCGGTTTGAGCTGCTCTTCGGCGTTTGGTTCTCATTATCATGTCTCACAAGCCCCTTCACAACCCCCAAAAGAGTTTAATTGAATTTTTGAATGAAGTTTGTTAGATTTCGTACCTTTCTGGCCTTTACCCTGTTTTGCCCTGTTTTTTGTGTTACTGTGAACGTCCCATAGGATGTTGCCCACGGTTTAATTAAAATTATTCGTCTTTATTGTTTGTTGATTTTGCTCTCGTTTCATGATAGTATTTGCTTGTAAACATTCTATTTGTTTACACAGCAACATTCAAGTTTGTTTGTGTTAATAAGGTTAGGAAACCATGTATAAAAATAGTTTCTGACATAAAGGTACGTACAAATGTAAACGTCTAAAGATATTAACTTCGTTGAATATACACTTAAGGAATACTGCGACAAACTTTTTTTATTATATCTAGTACAACGGCGTTTGGCTACCAACTCGCTGGGTGGTAAGTTCAATTAATAATACTTTGGTTCTTTACTTTCGTCATAAAATTTTACATAAAAGCACCAATTCAAGGAACATTTCAACATGTAAAGCAGAAATATAATTTAAACTCAAAAGGAAATATAATAATCGTAATCGTTAAGTAACCACGTTTATAGAATATTCAGTGGTCATCACTAAAGCCATTTAATGAACATAAAACTCGGAGTCATTTTGCATTTAATTGTCGATGAAATTACGACCTTACACCCAAAGGAAAATAAACTTCAAGACTTGAGTAATAAAATTAATTTTAAGATTTGTGGAGCTCCATCTGAACAGGCTCTTGTGCCGCTCCTTAGAGAGGCTCCACCAGAAAACAATACTTAATTATAAACATAAACCTTCGGAGGTGTTTAGGAAATTAAACAAGTGTGTAATAATATCGTGTTCCCGCAGCGTCCCAGGTACCGCATAAATAACCTGCACACCTCACTCTTTGTCAACGCACGTGGTTAACATAACGTGAACAATGAAATGCACAATATACAATGCTGGTTAAACACTAAGAGAATATTAGATTAAGCTAGAAAATAATCAATGGATTCTAAAGTTGTTAGAAGGGTCGAACTAACTAGGTTTGTGAAGAGATATTTGCTTGAAAACAAGGGTGACCCCACTGCGTATAAAGCGGGAAGGAATTTTAATTTACCCTTGTTAGTCGTGTTCGGAGACACCGTGCGCTGCGTGCCGTATTGCTGGCGGTGTAATGTGCTACAATAATGTCCGGATTGCAGCGACAGCCCAACTGCTAGTGGATCCAAGGAATTCTTTAACTTTGTTTCGTTTAAATGCGACTGTTTTATGCGTTTTTTAAGTAATGGAGGGTGAAGTGACAGAGGAACGGGAAGAATGTTTCACAGCTAAAAACCTAAAGTGTGTAATGAAATTAAATCGGTTCAAGACTTTTGTTAAAACTAGGAACAAGAACTAAAAGTTTTACTAAGGCTATATTGAATTGGCACATTCCCGCAGTGCAAATGCAAGCGGATATAATTTGGTTCCAAACCTCCCATTGAATAGACCATCAATATCAGTCGATAACGGGAAACGTCGGGCACCGTAAAAGCGTTTTATCATATCCGCTTCCATATTTCACATCCAAATCCACAATCCAAGATTGGACCATCCTAAACGCACAGAGATTCACCTGTCGCCGTACCATTTATCACTTCGCTAACACTCGCAAACACTATCAGGACAGAAAGGGGGGCTCCTTAGACCGTCTTCTAGATTCGGAAGATTTATTCGTCCCAACAGGGGAAATGAAAAATTCCAAGTCCCCTGACAGTTGGCAGAACTAATACGGCGCGTAGGTTGACTCGAAATTTACATTTTTATCAGCGTCACCCCGGGACATCGGGGCATTAGCCGGGATGTAAAACAAAAGGGCTCCAAAATGTCCTTAATTATAATTGCGGGCGCAGCGATTGGAGAACAAGTTATGTGCAATATATATGCAAATTATTTATATCGTAGTTACATCTTATTGACATGGTAATGGGGCCGCGGATTTCTAATTTTATGACATTCATGTTTACTGCCGCCATAAAGGGGATAGGTGCGGTTTGTTTACTGTTCACGAGACATTATGACAACCGCGGACCTTAAATTCAACCCGCAATTACTGGTAAAACTTTCCCGAAGAACGAGCTCCATAATTTCATTAGTTCGTACAAGTCCTAACAACTAGGCTATTGTAATTTACTGCCGACCTCGGGATTATTGTGTTTTACGTTTGTAATTTAATAATACTTCTAAAAGTTAAGGGTAAAGCGTCTTTATTGGTTTAGTGGCATTTATACTGTAGGTATACGGGTTTTATTATTTTAAACTTGATAAAAATTTCGTAAATTCTTATTTTAATTCTTACCGATGGAGTTTATAAGTAAAGTTCAAAGGACCCTTAAGCTCTATCACCAATGACATGAAGTACATGGCAGACGCTACATAAGTAGGTACAAACAAGTCGCGTTGAGAGTGTCCAACACGAAACATAAATAATTGAGGAGATAAGATCGACAATGTGTAACCTCAGCATCCGGAACACAGAGCATGTAACACGTCCATCAAAGTTTGGTAGGGTACTCGAGCGGTAATCGACACAACTAGAAGGGCAGTTAACGATGGACGGGCCGCTTCCTTTCCCGAGGGAGCCGCGCCGCGCCCGGCGGAGCCCCAGTGCCAACCCACCGGCGCACCAGACCACACCGAACCAATTGATTCATACACGTCTGACCTTACGAATAGTCCATACCGATCTTGACAATGATCCTTTGCACTCCGATCATTAATCACTGAGCTCGAACATGGCTAATCCTAATTTCAGACAGGACGGTGACAAGAATGTCCTGAACACTGTAGTGCTGTGGTGTTGTTGTGGCTTCTTTTTCATAATTTGTGGTTACGGCTTGTACCGGCAGCATACGTTGGAGCAGCGAGTGCTAATGTTGGAGCAGCACTTCCAGGAGCTGCGGAGAGCTGCGCAGGTGGAGCAGCCGGCGCTGGGCGCAGGGCCAGAGCTCTCCAGGAAGGAACGAGATGTCGGAGACTGCATTTGTCCCGCAGGTTAGTGAAACATAGCATCTATCTATTCAAGGATGTAGCATATAGCAACAAATAGATTATAAAACGTTTTCTATTCATTTTGAAATACGTAAAAATGTGTAACGAAAAAATATTTTTCATATTATCTCAATACTACATTTTATAAACTCCATAATAATAACATTTACCGAGGTTTTAAAAGAAAAACAGAAGTTTTAAAATTTTGCATGCACATTAGGTGAACTCAAGTGTTTAGATGTTTCACGTTCCGGATTGAGATTGCTTAACTTTGAGGAAATTTAATTAACGCCTCAATCGTTCCCTCCATAATACCATAAGCTGTGGAGTGTACTCATCAAATTAATTTTAGTACAGTCCCGAACACAATCGGAGGCCGCAAGCGTGCCGCAAGCCCGTCAATGCCTACCGACACATTGTGCCGACTAACTACGACCATTTTACAATATCCGGTGATAAACTCAATTGGGACATCTCTCGTATCCACCCAAAAAAGAACCTTCCCACAATAAAGATAAGATCTACATTGTCTTCCGTCAGCAATCGTCCACTTGTGCTCCTCCGGCACCCAGCTTCAGCTCGCCGAGACAAATTTGTAATGCTCTATTGTCACAGCCATTAGACATAATGGTTCAATAAGGAGTATTGAAAACGTTCTTTCAGGCCTACAAATCAACCTTTATTCAATTTAATATGATACATAGAGCGGCGGGAAGGGCCGTGCGAAGGGAAGGATGTTGACCTCGAGCGGATATTAAAAATGGCCCTTTAAATTGCTCCAAAGATTTGTTATCTACTGCATATTGGTTGTTTCCGTCGCGGCTCGCGCCTCGCCGATACATCCAATAGCTTCAATAAAACATTGAAGCGTCGTTGCTCCGTTAATAAGATTCCCCCGCGCCGGCGTCGGGGTCAGCCTGGAGTTTGATGAAAATTTACGAACAATAGGAGGGTATTTTGAAAAGTTCCCTTTACAAAAAATGCCGGAATCGTCAAGCACTCCGCTAATTACTTCTCATTGTTGGAAGCGCGAAATAAAGGCTTAATTGTTTGAAGTTCTCGCATCGGAAAGTTACTTCGATCTACTTCTTATCTGAGACGCCATGGACTGGAATTAAAGAAGGCCTCGTCGAGTTCCGAAGCTGCGCGCGGAGTTTGGCCACTTCTCAAAGTGCACTGGAGCGAGTGCTATATTCTTAACATAAATTCTACAATTTCAGAATTGAAAAGTCAATATTGTGCGCAGGCCACGTACACACCATGTCGTACAATCAGTCGCCGCAAATTATCTTAGTACAATTATGAAATACTAAAAGCTGATAAATGAAAACAGATATAATTTAATATGTCTAGTTTATTACGAGAACAGGTGTCAACAGCAAACATTAAACTGTTTGTGAACGCAAAAGTAATTTGCATTACGATAATTTTATTTCAACACCGATTAAATTGCAAACGAATATTAAGCGGCTCTGTCGGGAGATACTATCGGGGTTGGTTAATGATCATGATCATTTAAATTAAATGTGTTTGTAAGCGAAAACATTGTCTTTATTTGTATATAACACAATTTAAATAATTTTATTCAATAAAAATTACTATAATTACTATTTTGTTATTTCACAAATTACACATAATTTTGACTTCTCTTCTTCAATCGCTCAGTAATTTAATAGTTCATTTAGGCCAATGGCAATCACTGGCGTCGAATCATTCTAAGAACATCCGCAATAAGTTTATCATTACGCCCAAGTATACATGTATATGTAACAGAGTGTAGCCTCACTCAGCCCGCGGCTCCGGTATCCTCTGAGGAGTACTTGGAGGGAAGTTCCACTTCCACTCCATAACATTTACTTCGTCTGCTACAAGACAACGGGGAGGCGTCCATAATTGTTACATGGCCCGTTATGCGCCTCTTTATTGCCTTACTTCAGCAATATTAGTGAAAACTTTTCTTCACAAAGTCTCCTCACAAAATGTCTTTATTTTTATTTTCGCATTTTTATTGACTATTCGTTCTGCAGCGCTGACTTTATTGTTATTGAAATGTTTCATCTCTGCTACTGTTTCGACTGTTTTAGTTGATTACACTTGACTGGTCAAATTTGACTGGGTCTGTTTGTCGCAGTAACAATACAAATAAGTAGCAGGTACAATCGTAAATATTATATGTTTTATTACAATGCAGGTATATATAAAGATGGACGGAAAAATGCCACCAAAGGAATTTAGTAAAAATCTATGGAAATCGACATATTGCAGGATTTATTTTTCCACCTTTCCACATACGGTTTCTACAAACCAAATAATTAACCGTAGAAAACCAGTGCGCATAAAATTATGCGCCCAATAAATTTATACCAACAAAGAACCGTGTAAGGGTCCGGTTACGGTTAACCGGGTGTAACCGAACCCGAGTGTATCAACCCGGGTATACCCGGAGCTATTTGTACAGACAAGTTATAAAGTAAACGAGCGAATAATTTATTTAACCCGACGTTTGATTTTGTAAAAATATGTTAATTACTGTTTGTTTGATATTTGTACGGCGTATGTATACGTCGGGTACCGTAACGACCCGTGAATTGATTTTAATCTAAAATGTTTGTTTATGAATAAAGTTATCTGTTTGAATTTTGAACTCGAGATAAATCAACATTATATTCGGGGACCTCAACGATCCTAATAAGGATAAGGATACAAGAAACCCTTTCTGAGTATGGAGCTGTAACTTAAAATACGTCTATTATATACGTTGCTTATATTGAAATTAGAATTAAACGTAATATTTCAAGAGCTAGATTATAAATACCTATCTATGTACTACTTGAAATTATTTATTTATGGTATAGGTTGGCAAACGTCGTTAATACAAGTGCTTTGCTGGCCTTTTATATTTTCGATATTTCGATTTGAGGATTGAGAATGGGGGATAAGGTAAACTAAACACAAACGTTGTTTCACGCCGGTTATCTAAAAGGCCGTGAGGTCACGCTGGTAGACCCAGCCCATCTAAACCATGGCTCTATCACACTTAAAAAAGTCCATGTCAAAAATGATGAATTTTCATATTTCTAATTCTAAATAAAAAGTTTAATTTTGGAATCCTCCTCTGTTATAAACGAGCCATGACTAAAGTACGTTCAAACGATCGCGATGTACGAGTATAACAAAACAACGTTGATGAGTTACATTCACACTCATTCCTATTTTAATATCAACCTAATGAACCATTAACACACCAAAACAGACTTCAAAAACCTCGCCACGGATTTGGCTCTGAGCAGCAATACGCCACGATTTACGAGACACCCTGACAAATGAGATGTGCACAAGATGGCCGCCCTTATAAATTCGTCTGTCAACCCGAGAGTAATGAGGCGCTGCCTCGATGATTAGTTGACTGAGAACTGCCTTATACCACTCAATCCTACATGAATATGGCTGGCTTTAGCTAAAAGGGTGCTTACTTGTAATATTTGTCGTAAATGTTGCTAGTGAATGTTTTGGGATTTAATCTTTCAGTTCTGGTATACTGCCGTCCCCACGCGGCTTCTTTTGCGTGGATTTTCAAACAATTATGTCTCTCGAGTAGATTCCTAACCTTTGGGAATATCGAGATACAATGTAGCCCCCTAAAGAGTAAGCTTTCTAATAGCGAAGTAGTAACTTCGAATAATATCCACCACGGCCAAACAAACAAATCTTTCCTCTATATTATCTTAGTACAGGAGCTATTTATACTAACATACACACTCAGCCAATTTATTTTGTAAATATGATTTGTTATTCCGTACAGTTCTATAAAAATAACATGAAGCCTGAAATCGTTTCGAATTCTTCTAACATTGACTTAAGAAACGATTTTTTCTTTGTTGTTCAATGTTTAATTATATCATTTTAATGCCTATGTTATATACTAAAGTATTTTAAACTCTTCGCAATTCTACATTCGCTGCATAATATTTGGAGAGCATCACCGAGTGAGACCACTGCGTTCACACAATCTCCATACGCTTAACTTGAACTCACAAGAGACTAAACTTATGTTGCTACAAACTACACAGTTTACTCACTAGCTATTTTCAGGTTTGTTCTTTTAACAAGAAAAACATTTTTTTAAATTTAATTACTTAAAAGTTCTATTTAAAAATTAATCATCAATTACATCTGTAAAGTATAGTAGTAAATTAATTAACATTTATAACTCCTTTGGTACTACGGGTGTCACGTGCCGTGATTTCTTTAGTTATTTGTCTCTATCCTACCAAAAACAAAGATTTAAAATTATTTTTGTTGCCAATTATTACCGCCAGCCTCGGCCTAGAGGAGAAGGAACGGGGGTTTTAGTCAGTAAGTTAGTAAGAGTTGAGTGACATTCCCTGTCGCCTCCCCCTGGGCGGAAAAGTAATATGATGGTTTTCCCCTCACAAAGAAAGCCCTTGGTTTTTAGTCAGTAAAAGTCTAACTTCTAACTCTTGTCTCATTCAGGGCGGAAGAAGTTATGTGAAAATTATTGTTCCACCTGAAAAAACAATATTAAATTTCATTTTTGTACCATAATAATTTCTAAATGTAATGCGGGTTCTGTACACTTATGTGTGTGTATTATAAGTACTTGAATAAGGCACGCAACTACCCCGGCGTATCGATGCTCGCGTAGAAAGTTTTATTTAAGAAATAAATTGACTCCAGTAACAAGTCGGTGCTGAGGGACGGTCTCAAAACCTTCCCTTTACTATTTTTCCGCTCCGAAGTTTGCTTGCAAAATGTTTAGATTTATAGCTGTGTGTTGTATCGCTAAAATGTTACTTGATTACAACTTCACTTCAAACTATTTTGTATGCGAGGGGTTAAATCGAATTGTGACTTGGTTATTTATTTTCAACTTGTGAAAAAGTTATCGGATCTGACAGTATTATTTATGACTAGAACTGAACGAACATCTAGAAAGTGTATTATTTAAATTTGAAAAAAAAAAATATTGATTCGAATATTGG